ACTTCAAAATAATAGTTGACAAAAACTGAACTTGAAAACTTCAATCTATATATACAGTTGCATGTAATCAGTGTGAGATAGGGTACGTGTATCAAAATCTGAAAACACCTTTTATGTAGATACACACAGGCCCGAGATCAGGTGATCCCTATATCCTATTAATCCTAGCTCAGTCTGCTGCATGTACTAACTCTCGGGAATTTTTTAACTATAGGAAATAGAAAGATAAACAGTCAAAGGCACATACATCTTAATCTAAATCAAGATATGGCCTAAATGTATAAAAGTTATATAAAAATTCAGCCGTGTGTAAAGACCAGTAGCCCTACTGTCTCTATACAGCCTAAGATAATGAATTTATCAAAGACGGCCAAAGGAACGATGGTGCCATGAATATGGGTGATAGGCAGAATAAAGTGGCAGCATCAGCAACAGACCGTTGGGCAAACCCTTATTTTAATTTTAGGTTGACTCTTAAGTCTCTTGTTATTTCATTTTTGACCTTAATGGTTACATATTCTTCAAAGTCGCATTTAGCGCACACCGTTTGCCTCCATATCTGTACATAGAAAATGTACTTACTGCCCATGCATGACCGCCTTCCTCCTAATAAATTCAACTATATTTATGATAAAATCTTAATGGCATTGTAAAATTGAGACTTAACGCTCCTGTAACAGCATTCGAGCCGCTATCTCATACGATCTTCTAATATTTCAACGTAACTACATAAGCAATAGAACAATTAAATATTTCAAAACCGCTCAAGGCAGACGGCGTTGCACAATAATATCGCACAATCTAGCTTTATAGAGGGACATCTGCCAAGTTTGTCTTGATATCAGATTTATTCAAGTTTTCTCTTTCCTATTTTCAATGTCTAACTTCCGTGGAGAAAATATACATTGTATATACTCTACTTGTAAGTACGTAATGCTTAAACGGATCATTCTATTGTTCATGTCATATACTGTATGTATACTGTAGTAGTTTGGTCACAGTCATTGTAAAATAATTAAATGAAAAAGATTAAAGGTGTCTTAAAAGGTAGATATTAAAACTGACAGGGCACCGTTTTCTCATATAGAACCCTAGAGTACCTTATTTGATGTAATGTTAATCGCGTCTAAACAATTTCTAGTTTAATGCGCCCGAGTACAGTAAGTTAAATCAAGGATTAGTCAAATACGCCGTAATGACATTAGTTAGATCCGATGATCTGATTAAGCACAGCGAAATTCAAAGGTCAGGCAAGCCTCTCTGGTTTCGAATTCATCTAAAATTCGCTCATTTTACGAAGCACCGACAATCTGACAAATAAATAAAATACAGATATATCAATGCAAACAAACAAAAAACGACAATTGTTATTTTCCTTGTGGTAAAATGATAGCCCTACCTGTTTGACTTACAACCCACATGTAAACCTCATGTGATGGAGTTGCAGCGTAAGATATTACTTTCTGCCACGGTATGCTGTGTTCTAAAGGTGAAAGGGTTAGCGACACCTGTCCAGCTGAGAAAAACTCAGTTCTCCAGCCAGCTGAAGACGGATACTGCCATTAAACCCCTTAGATAAGTCACACATAACTTAATGACCCATTTAGATACTATCCATGATACATTTGACGGCCACCTAGATCGTGATAAGAAGAATTAAAACCTTGCAAACCGGAGAACAGGTTTACTTTCATACTGAGCGAGGCTTCACACGACGCGCATTTTTCATTCTTTTGTGTGGGAGTATATTCAGCAACCCGTAATTTTACTCCTATTTTCGCTGAGCTATGAAATCAAAACAGATCACTGTGTTAAAAGTTCATGTTGAGCTATACTTCGAATATAAAACCTACTTTTCTGTCTAAAAGTTACGTTTTTACAGAGGACAATGACAATACCCTTCCCATTTGCCTTCCGATGGCACATAGCTTTTCTCAATGACAGCATACAATGGACCAGATTGTCTCTTTTCGCAGCTTTTGGGTAAATGGTGTTTAATTAATTTAAAGAAAACAGCATGCACGTAAACTAGTTTGATATTGAAAAGAGATGGTAAACCAATCCAAACACGCGAGAAATTTGAAACCAGCTGCACAAAACCCAGTGAGAAAACGACGAGTTTGCTGTACTGGTCTTACACGGGAGCGTGACGTACGTCGGTCCCGCCACGAAAGCGGGATCCCGATGAGAGAATGCCGGAGTCGTTACCACGCTGATGCTTTGACACAGTAGAAACGGTTGACCAGTTGCCCGTTGGCCAAAAGATGCGTTACAGACCAAATGAAATTGAAGAAGACAAGATGTCATTTGAGGACCAAGGGAAGAGTTTGCGAGTGCAAGGCCCTAGGTGCGGGAAGACACCCTCGCCTTCCCTGCCATCTGTGTCTTTTTCTTGCCCATTATCATTTCCTGTAATGAACTGCCATTACAACAACTAATGTACAGTTCTCTACTCTTAATTTAATTATATCTGATTAAACAAATTGCCTATTGCACTAATAAATGCATATGATTTCTGAGTTGTCTTGTTCTATTCTTCTCTGTGTATTTGTCGACCTTAGACACACCATACTGTTACATAAGGGAAAGTATAAAGCACATGTTATTTCACTAAATAAAACAGCAAAAATAATTCGCGAGTCGCGCAAAAGCAGAACGAAACCGTATCTGACATATCAAATTTATTTTTGGGCCTTGTCGTCTACATTTTTCGGTCACTTCCATATTGTCTAGCATAATCTTGAAGGAAATGGTATATCGTGTAACACGAAAAAAAAAAAGATGGCTACTCGGTAAATTTTTGAGCATCAAGAACATTTGATTTTAAGAACAATTTTAAATACGTATAGAAAATTGCAGGAAACACACACACACACACACATTGTTTCGAGAAGGAAAAAAGACTCGTCAGTCAAATCTGTGTGGCCAGCAAAAAACCAAGATATACAGCTCATGTTTGGAGCGATAAAAGTCTTTGCCATCAAATTAAACAGCCCCTAATGCAACCCTAGCATCCATTTCATACAACTGTGCATTTGGTACTTAACAAAAGTTCGGATAAATTTCTACTTTTCTCTGGGCTAGCACTTAAATATATAAAGATATCAATGCCACCTCTCTTGCTGTTGTGGGGAAAGCATAAACGAATAACATAAAAAACAAATTCCGTAGGGTCAGGAAAAAAACAATGCGTTACGAGATAGTGACCTGTCAGGGAGCCGCTTTTGTAGTTTCTAAAAACAGTCCCGAACCGCTATCTCTCCGCAAGCTTCAATTACTGCCATTGTTTAATATGACGTGAACCACCTATGTAAATCATTAAGAGGACCCGGCATGTCATATCTCAGTACATCTCTGTTTTTACAACCGGCCTCCTGCCATAGCATGTCCTGCTGGCACACTTCACCGACTACAAACCGCACTCCTACAGTTGCTGATGTGACCAACACGGACCTCTGAGCGTGACTACACGACTTTGGGGCAACTACAAGGCAACAGAGAGGCGTATCAAACACGGTTTTATGTGGGTAATAAAATTGCTGCTTCCAGATTGAACCTTCTCGTGTGATTATTTTTGAAAATGCCAATTGTTGTTTGGTGCGCGTTGTATTGTTATCTGAGTAAATATCCAATATTGAAATGTGATCACGGAATATTGGGAAGCGTTGATAGTGATGAATGAGTTGACGGAGAATTTTAGCTCTATACAGTTTCTCACGCAGTCTGCCATGATTGGTTACACTAGTATAAATTAAAGCGTCTGGGGGACATCTTCCCATGTATTGTAAACTGTATGGTAAAGAGGCAGAAGATATGACACACCTGCCTGCCCCCTTCCCTTCTCTATTCCTATACCCACACCCCAATAATAACTAATCTAGTTATATTCAACACTAGTGAACAATGGCAAGACTGAGAGACAGTCGTGGCAGTCCACGCACCATAACATCCTCATTTAATGCCATTGTTGCATTAATAATCAGCTGTCATTGTGTTCTCGAATCATCATCTGTACTTGTATACCGCATCTGAACATTTTCACTCAAGATGGCGTTAACAACTCTCAACACAGAGACTTGAACATGTAGGTGAGCATAATGTCCCCACTATCCTAGCAGGGGCTTAAAATGCCACTTATCTTCGGCTAAATGAGCATTTATCTTCGCAAGGATATTATCCAAATTAAGGATCGTCTGTCGCTCTTCACATGCTGTCAATATTGTGACTATGGTCATAATAGTTAGGTCACTAATCTTTTCAGTATAAGTCGTGTGTGTTACAGAATATAAAGGTGTTTACGTTGATCTGAAAACAGGTGAGATAGACAGCACCTACACACAAGCACATCCTCATGGTTCGGCTTTACCATGTACTGTCTTTAGCACAGTAAACGAAGGGACACGTTCTCTCTCTCTCTCTCTCTCTCTCTCTCAGTCGGGTACACCAGAAATCGTACGTTTTAATTCGTTCATTTATAAACATATACACATATATGAGTTTACATATATTAAGGCCACGTAACAAACCCGTATCGTTCCATGTATATCCGGCATGGCAAACTGCTACATATACATGTATATTCCTACAATACCTACTCTCTTTTTAAATTAAAAAGCTTTTGGTTTTATATACTATTGAAAATTTTATCAAAACCTACGTGAGCTTCGTTTTTATCGCAGGATGTCCTATACACACATATGGTGCTTTTAGCTTGCCTACATGCACATCATTAAATCATGGCACATTTAGAGGTTGTTGGCTCGGTGGCTGCGGAGTTAAATGCAGCTATTTTAACGACAGATATACAGAGCGAAATAAAATGTGAAAATCGACGGCATCTTGCAAGCTTTAGACATTAAACCAAAACATTCGTATGGATTCCCTGATTATTGTAGTGCAGTGTATTATCGCAACTTACCTTTGGAATGTGACAGTCACTCATCTCTGTGGTACCAACTACAATATAAATGTACATATCTCGACAAATGTCAATAACTTACCGTCAGTTACAAGTCTTTTAATTTCCAACACCCTCTCACGTCCTAACCTTGATGACACATGCATACGCTGTGTCTGTCAACTAGTAAGTTTATAGCGGAACAAAATACAGTTACAGTGCCGGTCAGGCTCACTTCGTGGGCACGACTGATGACCACGCGGCGTCTCTCGAGTCCACACACCGGACACGATGTCCAGATAGCATGATAAAGAGGGTTAATGCTGTTAATGACGCCTTTGGCGTCCGACCACTTTTGATGGTTCAGAGGACTCCGCTATGCCACTATGGAAACTCTTGAGGGCTGAGTTATTAATTCTCGAGCACTCTCGAGGTGTTCACCGAACTGGCTGGATGACCATAAATTACCGGCAGCAGCATGAGTGCCGGTGGAAGAAGATCCCGGGTAGACGTCAAGCGTTAACAACGTTACATGAAATACTATGAAATATACCAAGCACGGGGTATAATGTAATGTGTTAAAACACAGCCAGGATCAAAGCCTCTCACATTACCGGCGGCCACACAGATGGCAATACTTTTTCCACTTTTGAAGAGTTTCACAAGAATAAAAGAGAGGAATTCGACCCTATTGAGAAAGTGGATTTAAAGGGAAATTCATGAAATTGACCCCGTGCAACATAGAGAATCGGAGAGCAGTCGACAATGTTCATCTTGCGGTGTGAAACAGTGGGCCAGAGCGCCAAGGGGGTGGTGATATTGACATAAACAAACACACACTCACAAAACCCGACCAGACCAAGTAACCAAACATGTATTGTCTTCTCTATGCAACCTGTGCTTTAGAGTGAAATTAGTTAATCCAAGCAGAATTTGATCGAGATTGAAATTCATTCAAAGGCCTCTAATGAAGTTCAAAAATTACGACCCGCAGCTAAGTTGTTGGCCATTCAAGGTGAAATGAATATACAAAACACGGCCTCGTTTATTGTGCGTGCTCATTTCAAAACATTCCATTTAAGTTGTTGGGGGGCTGACGTTGGTAAGGTTAGACACAGAAAATACAACAATCACCGGTATTCTCCATCGGGGTGTATTTACCGACGCCCCCCTGAGGCCGTTTGCCAAAAGAACTTCTTCATTTCTGACAAGGAAATCTACAGCTGGTGTGTAGTCACTCCCTCATTGGGCTTGCAGTTAAAATGCCTCTACAACGTTAATACGATCACTCACCTGTGCGTCCAAGCAAAGCTTCTTCATTATATGCTATCCCCCATCGAATATCAGTCACTATAGTGACAACTGCCTCGCTGTACATCAACAGTACCGTACTATCGTTTCACTGAACATCAAACCTCATCATATAATCTCCCTCCGCTTAGTGAGTACCTTGATGTTGATATTAATAATAAATAAAACGCCAGCAGCTGACGACACAGCTGATACATCCGAGCTGAACTCGTGGACCCGAATTAATGATAATATTAAGGTTTTTAACCATGTACATACCGAGATTAATACGGAATGGTCAAACGCTATCTCCTTCAGCGTCCACCCCAGGGTGTGATACTTCACGTTAGGGCTCTCCGGTCACTACCTTAACGTCGCACCAACCAGAGGATGCAACTAGTCGGATACAATGCAAAGAACGTCTATTCTTCCCATTCAAGCCATGAATTTGATCTACCATCCAGTACTCTACCGCGCTGCTTATGTGAGGCTTCCATTTCGCTCGGACCAATGGCGTGAAGGGGAGGGCCACGGAGAAGGCGGGCCGCGCAGGAAATTTACACTTCAAACTAATTTCGCACACTGACAACATTAAATTGATCAGAACGTGTGTTGGGCGCTGTGGTATAAACAATTTACCTGAAACTTCGTGAGCGGGGACTTTTTTAGGTTTACTCGAAGGGTTTTGAATTAACAGCCATCACTCAAAATTTGTGAGAAAAGGCGCAAAAAACTTTCCCCAGCGGATGTATAGTGTTGATTCACACTTGGCATCAATGGTCTAGTACTTGTGGTATATTTGTAGTAGTAGTAGAAACATACGGCCGCTTTAAGGAAGCGCTTTTAGCACTCAAAATATAAACTTTCCCCCTTTCATCTCAAGATTTGCTGTATCCGCCTAATGCTAGACAAAAAGATTAAATACTGGCACCATACAACACTATGGTGCCCCGCCATAGTATGATCAGAATGTTTTCCCCTCTCCTCCCCCAAAATTTCCCAGTGGGACATTTCCCCAAAATTGTCAATTCGTTCATTAGATATTACGTATTCTCTGAAATGACGGGTATCGACTTCGATGTATCTCCTGAAAAATGGAATTTTCATTCCTTATCGACTTATTCATTAGCCATTAGCTTTAACGCATGAAAACCGTTTAGTCTAAAACTGCAGAAATCGACGCATATCCCTCGCTGCCTAGTTTAACACTGCCTTTCTCGAAATGTGATCGGATATTTCGAGTATTTGCCGATGACTCGAACTTACGCAATAATTTTCAAGTGCGCGCGGTTTACAAATACTGTATCATTATAGAGATTCAAGTATGTAAACGCCTTTAAAGGCAGGCCGGCATCAAGGATAAGTAGAAAGCATAATGTGATCGTATCGTAGGACCGCCTAGACGCTGAGGGAAGTTTTGGAATTCTCTACTAAATAAATTGTCTTTTCTCTGGCTGGCACGGGAGTTGATTTTTAGGGCTAATCAGGCGTTGATCTGCTATGTAAATGTGTAACTTGAACGGCGTCAAAATTGACCCAGGCAGGAGTCCTCACAAGGGTAGCCGCCCAGGATGGGAAATTCTTTAGCTTCGAGTGCCCAACAGGCGCGAACCCAGCATCTTCGTCAAGCATCGTATCTCTTGGCTCATCACATTCTGAGTGACGTGCGCATGTGATGGCGGGTACTGCTCGGTGCAACTTGAAGCAAATGATCCGAAAAAGATTGAAATGAACTTAAATTAAAAGTAGATTCTCAGACGCATCGTGCTCTCAAATGCTTGAATGCCGTTAAGGGAAAGCAGCTTATTTATAAGAGTAAATGGGATCAGCGAACTTGTAAACAAAGATTTGGTGAAGATCGATACCATTCCCACCGACGGACGATGTCCCGTTCGATCAAGCTAAAATAAGTAGTCTTACTAGGTTTCTAAAGCAAATACTAGCATTTACGATCTGCAATTCACATTTACTATCCGCTTGTATCTACGATCCGCAGGTTTATTTATTTATCTAAGAATTATCAAGAATCCGCGTAAGAGCTTGAGGTTGGGTGATATTGATACTGCGAGTTCCCTAGGTGGTGGGAATGGCATTAGCTAAAATACGGGGACTTCAAACGCCAAATATATAAACAAATAATTTGCAGTACAAAGTAAGCAATCAACCTTATCACCTCCTTGTGAACATCTCTAGTTATCTTTAAGCAACTTCCAGGATGAAGAAAAAGAAGATTTAGGAGTGCGAAGTGTGTGCAGTAGATTAGTATCGAAAAAGGAACAATTCATATCTGTACAGTTACATGTAGATATACATGTATATTACATCTTCAAGGGAGCTGACTGAAACAAGCAAAAAAAATTACTAATCTCTTACAACCTATACTGTTGTCCGCATACATTTTAAGGCATTAAAAACAATTGAAAACAATTTACCGAAGAGTGCAAAGAAAGCTCCCTAAATTTGGAAGATTTGTGCTTTATCTCACTTTTGTGCATTTAGTCTACTCCAAGAGAAACATAGCAGTATATTATATTCATCTTTACAGGTTTTTATTAAATTAAATCCTAAATCTCAAGGTCGGTTAAGACCATAAACGTTGCTGTTATGACATTAAAAGAAAAAGAAAGCGACAGCTTATCATATGGGTCGCTCCAAAAGATCAGAACGGTCTTCTCTTTCTACTAACACATGTACATGAAGTCAAGAGAGTAGTGGAGCGTTTGAAAACAGCACATCAAAGCGCGAGCTCACGAGATAAAACAGACGCCACTAGGCCAGGTGAAACCATCATCTGCTGTTTATGTACAAGGTACAATAACGTTACATCTGATGCCCACCCTCTTTGCACGAACTAGTACAAAAAATACATTAAAATACTGAAAGAGTGTTATCAAAATTATGGTAGTTATGCGAGAGCTTTCATGTAGTGTATTTTGGTGCCATCACAGCGGAATCAGTTCCGTTTTTAGAGTCATCTGAGGCGTGCATTTTAAAAGGGTTAGCATTATTTAGATTTGCGGTAAACCAGTTCTTGTTTATTGCAACTTTAAACGTTTTATGTCTGGAACGATAACTGTATACCTTGATGTTTTTTTACGTTCGAATAATTATTAAGATATGTTCTAACACCTAAAATAATCAAACAAAAGTGGATGGTGTAACCTACTTAAATTAATTTAATATGATTTCACATTTGTTTGCTTGCGGGTCTAATATATGGATTGCACTAATAATTCTCTCTCTCTCTCTCTCTCTCTCTCTCTCTCTCTCTCTCTCTCAGTCCATGGACAAATCATAATTTGTCCATGCTCAGTCCAACCAGAAAAACGTATCAACAACTCCCAAACAACAACGTCACCCCTTCACATGACCATATGCACAAGGCATAATAATTGAACAGCATTGTCATTGCAATGGCCATGGGTAGCTGGTCACTTTATGACTGTGGGTGGCCACAGGCCGTCACAAGCCCCATACACAACAGGGACAAACAACATCAACAATGACACCCACTTTTCCTTCCACGTTCTGTGATGTGGGAGCGTCAAAGGTAAGAATGGATGGCGTCCACCGGAGACATATGGACAGTAACTCCTGAGAATGAGATTAAGATTTGGCCATTATCTATTTGGTCATCTCATGCCTCCGGGTTACCCGTCCCCCTTTCGCCTTAATTTAATTTCGAGTCTTTTTGATGAACAGAGACAAAATAGAAACCAAATGAAAAGATTAAGATGACTGTTTAACCTCAGTTGGCCCAAGGCTGGGAGACGTCGGTCAAAGTGCACAAGCAAGTTCACGTTTTAAAGAAAAACGTTTTAACAATATGTTTTATGGCTTATCAAATTCTCAAACACCACGCATTCCGGACCCTTCTCGCATTCATATCTGACCCGGGGTCATTTTTCCCTGGCTACCACAGAGCAGGCCCTCGGGGTATCCCAGGTAGGCGTCAACTTCGCCAACTTTGATTGACCCGTAACAATACCCAGCGACCCAAACGTTGGAAAGGCAATTTTTATGAATATCAACGATTTATATAATTTCTCTTCTATAGAAACGTGCGATTTTGTATTCAATAACACCCTTTTACTCTCGTTTTCTACCCACCACATTAACTTATCGGCGGCACCTCACCCCATATCACGGATCATTTAGCCCCACACAATCTCGTTTTTTACCGTCACTATCGCGCCTCGAGATCTTTCCATCAGCATGGGCATTCTTTACACTAGGACAAATCATAAAGAAAAGGCACAGGTTTCAATCGACTTCGTAGCTTTTGTGCATTTAAGTCATAAACTAAGTCATAGACGAATGTTGGTTGGCTTTCAAACTGCACGCACGGGATTTTATTTAGGTGTCAAATTATAAAGGGGGGGGGGGGCTCTGATTATGCACCCCAAAATGTGCCTGATACGACTGACCACTTGCAAACGCTGAAGGTTCTAACAGTTAAATCATTTTCATGTTGAAGCTAAAACCATGTATGTCATGACAGTTATGAAGGAATAAGGCACCTGGTAAAATAAATCTTAACTCTCTGTCCTTCAGGTTCCGGGTACCCGTGGCGTATATGTTTGACCCATCATTTGTCATTACAAAATACAGTAAAACATCTACCCAGTAAAGCCACTCCTACATATGCCGACCCTCAGCTTGCTTTATGCTAACAATGTCAATGTTTGAGACACTTTTCTTTGGCCCGCGAAATGGGTAGCTTATTA